TATATATATATATATATATATATATATATATATACATATAATATTTCATATTTTACATTTTACATAAATGCACACTAATGTAATATAACGTACTCGGTTACTAACATAACCTCGGTTCCCTGAGATACGGGAATGAGTACTGCGTCTGCTAAGACGCTATGGGAAAAAGCCTTTTTTCTCCTGAACTGAAGCCTTTTCATTCACGCAGTGAAACTGCACAGCCATTGGTTCGTGCAGTGTATAAAAAACGAACCAATGGATCGGCAGCGGAGCTATATGGCTATATAAGTGGGCGTTCGCCACAGGATTCTCAGGTTAATTCGACTGAAGCGATGACTGAGTCGTGCGGCTACATAGCACGGCTAGCAACGCAGTACTCGTTCCCATATCTCAGGGAACCGAGGTTACGTTAGTAACCGAGTACGTTCCCTGTCGATACTACACTTGTACTGCGTCTGCTAAGACGCTATGGGAACACAGTACAATCACGCCGTGCTAAGGTAGAGGAACGACTATAAAGGTATCATAACTTCCATAAGCAAGCAATGCCCATAGAGAAGTTAACAACAACCCAAGGCTAAGACGGGCTGAGCTCCCTGAGATCACGCCTGGCCTGGTTAATCATTCCAGAGTACTCATGCAACTTCGGCACCCCAGGGGTCGAGAGCTGACAGGTGAACTAATGCCAGAGAGCTTGAGCGCGATACGGTCAAAGGCTCACTGTCAGACTTGTTTGCGTAAAGCAGCGCATGTCTCTTCAAGTGGAGAGGATCCTGGCCTGCAAGGCCGCCTCACAAATATCCGCAAAGTACACACCGCTGGACCACGCTCAAGATGAGGCGATGCCTCTGGTAGAATGGGCCCGTACTCCAATGGAACATTGAAGGCCCAAGGAAGAGTACGCTAGTTTGATAGCGTCTACTATCTATCTATAGAGTCTTTGCTTAGTGACCGGATGCCCTTTGGTGCGGTTACCGAAGCTAATAAAGATTTGTTCCGACCATCTAAAAGGGGCGGAACGCTCAATGTAAATTCTCAGAGCTCTGACAGGGCAGAGCAGAGAAAACTCTATGTCCTCTTCAGAGGGAGGAAGCGCAGAGAGCGTAATGACTTGAATGGAGTGGAGAGCACCTTGGATACGTAACCATGCCTTGGTTTCAGGACGACCTTAGAGTTGTTAGGTCCGAATTCCAGGAAGGCAGGGCTAATGGAAAGCACCTGCAGGTCCCCTATCCGCTTTACCGATGCTAGTGCCAGAAGCAGAGCAGTCTTCAGCGACAGTGACCGAATGTTGGTAGACTGTAGCGGTTCAAAAGGGGGGCCCTTCAGGGCCTTCAGCACAGTGGGCAGGACGTGAGCGTCCTCACTTTGCACTAAGGTGGGGACCACGCCTCTGAAGCTCAGGGGTCTTCAAGCGAATTGGAGTGAATATCCTTGTTTTATTATCCCCATGACCC